CAGATTTTGACTTTTTTCAATGAAAATGCTTTGGCTTTTTTAGTTTCTGAAGCATTACAACATAATGTAACAGTAATATGTTCTTTAGATGTTTTCGATCTGCAACTAATATAAGTATTATTTTAAATTTATATAATTATTTATATCATTAATTAATATTAATTTTTACCTGATCCAGTAAATAAAGTCTGATTTGGCTCCATTTTCCAATAAAGTTCAGTTTCATTCACATTAAATATATCATTAGGTGAATAATCTTTAAGAATATTTTGAAGATTTTTACACATATTATCTAAATCTTCTAAAGAAGCACTTGCAGCCTCTCTATGTTTCAAGTAATATTCAATGTTATAACATTTTTTGAAACTTGTTAACCATCCATTTGATTCTTTGAAGTTTTGTATATCAAGTAATGTTGCAAAATTTCTTGAATTTTGTAATAATAATTCATTACTAATAGTAATATTTATCTACAGCTTTTTTAACCAAAAAACTTAATGCTTCTTCAATTTGTGAAAAATTTAATTTAATTTGTCTTTTAACTGAAGTTTCATAAAATTCCAATTTTATAACTAACCATTTTTCACTTTCTTTTAAAATATCACATATTATTCCTTCTGAAACATTAAATTCTAAAGAAAAGTCTTTATTTTTAGGCTTTAGTTTCTGCAACTTTTTTTAAACAAATTTCCTGTTTTGAGACATCTGTAAACAAAGCTCTAGTTCATTTTAATTCTTTAGGCATTTTAATAAATGATTGATCAAAAAATTTAATTTCTTTTTGAATATTTAAATTATTAATTTATACTTTATTAAAATTTTACTAACTGTAATATTACTTTTAATAGTAATATAAGAAAAAAATTCACTATATCCCTTAAATTTATTATAAAAATTTATTATATAAAAAATCTTCGTTAACAAAAGTATTATTTATTATACTTGGTCAGGATCTTCAATTTGTTATACATAATAATAGGTATTATTATAAAAATTCACTATATTCAATAATTTTATTTAATAAAATTTGGGATCACTTATGTAATTTGCTATAATAAAAAATTTGGAATATAGAAATTCATTATAGTGAGGTTTAATTGTATATAAAATTTTAATGTATATTATTATGTAGGATTTTCCAATTAGAGCCAATTAACTTAAATAAAAATCATTTTTACAGTATTTATTATATGTAATAAATGAAAAATAATTGGCAAATGATCAGTAAAATGATCTGTGAAATGTGATAAAATTAAGCTATACTTATTGATGCAAGGATGAAGGCTTTGAAGAAGAATTAGAAAAATTAGGAAGTCAACATAATAAAATAAAGGTTAATGAATATAATAAAAAATGAGTAATATTTGAGTATTTAAACTATCAGATGAAAATAGTGATGGGAAAATTGAAGCAAGTTTAAATGTTACCTGTATGTTTTTGTTAATGGTGGAGTTTGAAAAGTTTGTCAAATACGAAATTGGGTGAATTATTAGCTTCTTCATAATGCACTTCCTATATCATATCAAGAAAAGCATTAAAAAACTATTTGATTAATTGATGATAAATATGTTTCTGAAGAATGTCATACTTGAATTCAGGATCAAAATTACAAAGTCATGCCTATAAAATTCAAAGAGTTTATAAAACATAATTTATTAGCTAAATTAGAAATTAATAAGAAAAAAACTATAAATATTTCAATTTTAATCCACTGGATTTATATTCTTAGATATACAAAGCAAAAACAAAAGTAAGATATATTTTATAATGGACATGAACATGTAGATATAATTCAATATAGGAATGATTTTTTAAAACAAATTTTTGAATATGAAAGTTTATGTCACACTATGAGGATGAAAATATACAGTAAATCAGATTTTATCTGATTTAGCAAAAGGTGAAAAGAAACACATTTTGGTAGCGCATGATGAATGTATATTTTATTCTAATGATAGATAACATGATGTTAGGTTAAAAATGATGAATTAGCTTTACAGAAAAAAGATAATGGTAAATCAATTATGATTAGTGAGTTTTTAACAGAAGTTGATAGATATTTGAAACTGAAACTAGCAAATATTGAACAATATCCTAATATTCAAATAGAAGCTTGTGAATATTTAGAGCCTGATAAAGATTGTAAAGGTTATTAGACAGTAGAAAATATTATTAAACAAATAAAGATTAAAGTAATTCCTATATTTGAAGCTCTTTATTCAATTTGTATTAGTGTTTTTGCATTTGACAACATTTCAAATCATGTAATATTTGCAAAAGATACATTAATGGCAAAAAAATAAACTTAAAACCTGATGGTTTGCAACTAAAAATGCGAGATACTTATTGGAGTCCTGATAATTAATTTCAATTAAGAATGATGCTGTAATTGTTTTTTAAATCTGCAATATTGCAGATTTTTGAATTGAATTACATATAGTAATTCACAATTCCGCAATTTAAATTACATGATTTGTGATATTGTAAACAGATCTATAAAGTGATCTGCAATATTGATCTACAAAAGGGATTTGCAGAATTGATCAACAGAATGATTTGTAAGATTGATCTACAAATTGATCTACATGAATTACGTGATATTAATGGCATTGTTAATATAGTTGACATTAATGATATTATTAACATTGTTGACATTATTGACATTAATTATATTATCAACATTGTTGACATAATTAATATAATAGCTATAACTTGTTTATTTTATATAGTTTATTTATTATTATATATAATTGAAAAGATATAAATACAGTAGATTTTAGAACTTGTAGAAAGGCAGAATTCAATTCAGCTATGTGCAATAATTCTCTTAGAAACCTTTGAATAGCTGTGTGCTCTCTTATCTTAGTGAAATCCTCTTTCTTATTTTCTTTACCTTTTTTTTTATTTTTTTATTTCTTTACTTCTTATTTTCCTTCTTATTATTTATCAATAAACTATCTTATTATTATTATCTTATACATCTACATGATATTATATATCATTGTTTGAGTGACATTGTATATCTGAGTGATCTTATAAATCTGAGTGATTGTATAAATCTTTGTGAATTAAGATAACAGTTAGGCCTTCGTGACAACAACAGTCATTGTGAATCTTTGGAAATATACAAACTTAGTGAATTACAGTTAAATACGTTTGGGTAGAACCAATTATAAATCCAAGACTTAGGAATAAATCAGCAGATTACTACATACATTAAAAAGAAACAATAATTGAACATCTCGTTTAACTGTAGTAATCCACTAAATCGCATGTTAACAATATAATTTATGTAAATATAAAATCGCAAATTACTTAAAATTTAGTTATTGGATTTTGATGAATTTTATATTATTTGATTCTTCTCTATGAGAGGATTTGAATAGTATAAAGTTCATCTTTTTAGTACTAATATTGATAGAGAAATAACTACACAAACATTTAAAAAAATTTGGAAATAAAATATGATCTAATGATTGGATTTTGATGAATATTATATCATTCAATTCGTCTCTTTGAGAGGATTCGAATAATACAATTTTCATCTTTCTATCACTAATATTATACAAACATTTAATAATTATTGGTGATGGAATAACATCCAGTAATTGGATTTTGATGAAAATTATGCCTTTCGATTTGACTCAATTAGAGGTTTCAAATAGTAGTAAAATCAGTATTTTAGAATCAATATTAGCAGTGTTATGCTTTAATAAATTTTAAATATATATTTTGGCCAAAATTATGTTAATTTTAGCTGAAATTGCAGAATCAGACCTTAATTTTCACAATTGTTTACAATATCATAAATCACAATTATTTTGCAATTGCCTATTTGCAGACCTATTTTTAATTGCAATCAATAGTATTTTCTGATGATCATTCAAATGAAAAACTTTAAGGTCAGCATAAGGTCCTGAGACAAAAATAACAAGAACGAGAAAAATGGCCTAATGGTAGATTAATATTGAAATGCAAAGAATGCAAAGAAAAAAAATCAAATTAATTGTTGTACGCATTAAGTAATGTCCTTAAAATCAGATTTTCTTACTTAAAAGGATGCAATTGCGGAAATAATTAAAAAGGCAGATCATAAATGCAATTTTACCCAAAATTTTATTGTGAACTTAATTTTATTAAGCGTTATTAGGGGGTTGCAAAGAAGTATACAAGAGAAAACTATAATTATTTATGATAGGATTAAAATAAATTGTATCTCAAAATCTTGAATCAATTTCATTAATTACAATTAGAAGGTTTGCAAAAAAAGCTTAGCGTTATTTAAGTTTATATTAAAAAGAAATTGGAGAAAATTAGCTGAATATGTAGTTAAAAAATATAGATCTCATAGAAGAATTCCAGATGAAGTTATAGAAGAATTAAATCAAATTAAATTTGACTAGTTAATAATGTTTTATGTTTTTTATGCCATGAAATTGCAATAAAAACTGATTGCTTAACAACCAATAAAAACTGTTTTACATGACATTCATGTAACCTTATTTTAATTTTTTGTGTGCACATATTATATAACATAAAATATGCATAAATTATTACTAAAAATAGATAAATTATATATAAAAAAGGTAATTTTACATAAGAAATTGTTATGATTTTCTTATTTTAGTAATAATTAATCAACTTGTGCACATAAATTTTAACTTAGATTTTATACACTGATATAGGTGCATTGTATTATAGCTTAAATATTTGTGAAGTTATGAATTTTTTTGTGAATAGACACGTCCTCTAAAAATAATTTGAGTCACGTGATTTTTATTTTTTTTGGTGACCAGTCACAATAAAATGATTGACAGCCAATTATAAAAAACTCTATCATGCTGATGCGATATATAAAAATTTATTTTAATAGAAACCACGTGAAAAAAAACTTTTTTTGTGAACCTTGTTGTTTTTTGATGGTTTGGATCGATCTGAAAAAAAAAAAAATTTTTTTTTCAGATCAAAAAATGGTTACGAAAAAAAACATATCTAACGTTATGGGTTACAATACTGAAAAAGCTTCGCTTATACATTTTCTCTTAGTACTAGTACTACTTCTGACTTTAGCTTTACTTATATCTCCAGTTTTTTGGTCTTTTATTGCTCTTGTTACAATAATCCACATAGTAGCTTTTGCCCTACAACTTGTAGTTAGGATATGTACAACTTCTATTGAAATCCTACAATTTACTGCAAAGAGTTTCTTAAAGACCATTTCTGTCTGCGGAAGACGCATTCTCAAATCGAACATATCTTGTATAAACACTAATGTCTCCAATAGCTTTCGTAAAGTTGTGAGAAATATGAATAGAATACGAATATATTTCGTTCTCACATTCGGTGTGGGTTTCGGTGCATACAGACTTCATAACTTAGTTGAAGAACGGTGAGTGTATTTTTATTTCAACACTATTTTTCCAAGTGTCATAAGGTAAAAATTTAATACATTATATTAATCAAGTATATAAATGAAACATGATCAAATATACAGGCCAAAATTCTGTCTTCAATTATATATTCCCGATGAACCTGAAATCATTCCAAGACAAGAGCGATCCAGGATGGGATTGAGTAAGTGAAAGAGGAATGCTTACAATAAATATTTTGTTTCGAGGGGAGGTTGCAAGTATATTTGCTAATAACGTTCTTACCTTTTAATTTTATTAATAAGTGATTCAAACTCTGCCGAAATCCATTAGATATCGACCACATATTCCATCAATCCTTGGACCTAATTACATCGAAGAGTGGAAAGAGCTAATTGATTTTTATCTTTCCAAGAAATACGCTACAGGGATATTAAATAGGCCAGGGTTGACAGCTGCGGTAATTTTCTAAAAAAAGCTTCTTTCTACGTCTCGTTTTACGAAAGTACTTAATAAAATCTGATGTTATTAATTTAATTGATTTTAGAAAGATATCATTGAGCCATTCGCAAAGTATCGAGCTGGAAAGAGAACACGTGGCTTGAAGACCGAACAGTTTGACTCTCGAGTTAACAATCGCCATGTAAAAAAACTCGACCCGTAAGTGATTTCTTTTAATTTGAGCTTTGAAAATCGAAAAGCATTAATTTAACCTGAATTTGTATTATTTAGGATCGAGTTTCCTGAAGTAAATAATTTGCTTGATATGCCAAGAAATAAACTGATTCAACAAAAGAGAACCGAATTTCTGGATCTAAGCCCACAAGAAACTTTGAATGCCGCTCGTGCTCAACTTGAACACCGGTTGAGAAGTCACAGGAAACGACGTCGTGGTAAAATGCAACGAGATTCATCTACTTGAGATATTCGTAGATAGAATGACTAAAATAAAAGGAATTTAGTATGGGGATTTGAGCAAGTGCAATAATTTTTTTCTTGAGTGATTGAGATCTTAAGTAAATTAATTGAGCGTAGCCTTGTAACCAATAACATAAATTAGAATTTATATAGAGATATAATTTTTTAAAATTCCCTTAATCCTTAATATCGTTATAGTTTCATGGTCTACTATTATTAATTCCATGATTCTTCCTTTAAAAGTAGTACATTAATTAATTATTGACCCTAACCCTTTAATTTTTTTTTAATTTATAGAATAGTTTAATATTTTTAAATATTACAAGATTAATCTTTAGAAACCTTATTAGAGAATATGAAAAAGATCTATTTCTAAAATGTTATTAATTAATTAAGTATATTAGACATTTTATTTCTTTACTTTCCACATATCGAACAGATACCACCATTTAATTCCCCTATTTCTAATAATTTTTGTCATGTGAATCCACCTCTTCAAAATCGGTTCCAGAAACATTTTGACCTTTAACATAAATAGATTTAAGATTTCTTTCATCACCAAGAAACATAAACTTTTCAAAAATTCTTTCAAAATCATCTAAATCATCGAAAATATCCAAGGGAGATTTATTACAATTAGGATCAACTAACAAAGCATCAAATTCTTTACCAATTAGAAAGTTTCCGATTTTCTGGTCAAGGTTAACTAATTCAGCACCACCCATAGTAGCCAAGTAAGTTAATTCAGGTAAAGTAAGGTGCGGAAAGGATTTGTCATTACCCTTTGACGGAATAGCCATAAATACAACACGACTTGCGATACTTGCATTCCTCACAGCATTTAAAATAGATTTTGAATAACCGCCACTCAAATCGGTACCTAAACCAACCTTAATACCTTCATTTAACAATTGTCTAACATTACATATACCTGAACAGATGGCAAAATTCGACGTGGGACAATGTGATATACCAACATTTCGTTCTTTAATCAACTTTCGTTCTTTTGATGACAAATGTATACCATGAGCCATAATCGTCTTTCCATTTAATAAACCATGATGATCATATACTGTTGTATAATCTGACAAGTTAGGAAATAATTTAGAAATAAATTCGATTTCATCTAAATTTTCCGATAAATGTGATTGAATTGGTATGTCATACTTTTTCGCCAACGATCCAATTGAGCTCATCAGCTGTGATGTACAAGTAATGGCGAATCTTGGAGTAATTATTGGATAAACAAGTCTTGAACCGTCCTTTTCTTCTTCTAAATTTAGGACATAATCAATAAATTCTTCCGTAGATTTAACACTATCATCTAAAGTTTCGACATAATCATTGGGAGAATTACAATCCATATTAACTTTTCCAACAAATCCTCTCTGTCCTTTTTCTTTAACAATTTTTGCTAAATATTCACTTGATTCGAGATGAGTAGTTGCAAAGTAAACAGCCGTTGTCGTTCCATTACGCAGTAGATGACTTACTATGGTAGGGTACATTTTCTTGGCAAATGAAAGAGATGAATAAGATTGTTCAAGTGGAAAAGTATATTTTTTTAACCAATCGAGAAGCGGTAAATCCATACCGGTGCCTGCATTAGGATATTGAGATGCATGTGTATGAGTATCAACGAATCCTGGCATGAGAAATTGCCACTTACTCAATCTAATAACATCATCTTCAGGAAATTTCCATTGAAAAAGAATTTCATTTAAAGTTTTTTCGTCCAAAATATCTTTTTCAATGAAAGCTATCTTTCCAAAATAATCTATTCCCAACAAAGTATTTTGTAAAATTTCAAGATTTTTAAGGGATAAGGAATGAATAAACGTTCCATAAAAAACCTTGGAAATTTCGGCGGTCATTTTTTTTTTTAGAAAAAAAAGAGGTTCCTTTTTTAAACCGGATGCGGTGTTCGTTAATTAACTCATAAATTATAATAACGTGACCATGGCATAGTAGCATCAGTTGGTTGAACAATGTAAAAACATATATTTCGAAATAGTGAAAAATCGGTTTTTGAAATTTTTTTTTTTGCCTTAATAATTACCCGAAATCCCCGAAAATAATGTTATTTTCACATGAACATCGTAAACAATACATTTTATTGTATCACCCAAATTAAACCAATAGAAAAATTAAAATTGAAGATGATGATTTATTAATTTTTAAATGAAGAGCAATCTTGTATGTACTGTCGCGTCTTAAAGTAATTCCCGATTTGAAATTGTATAGTAAGATGAAAACTAATTAAGTTTTTGGGTTTAAGTCTACACAAGATAGTAATCATTTTTTTAAAAAATATAACTTATTAGCATTCAATTGTAATAAAATTTGGAAATAATTTTAACAGTAATACGATTATATATATGGTTTAGAAATTTCAATTTTTTATATGTTATAATAATAGACAGAAAAAATGTATATCAACTTTTATAATTAAAGTAGCTCGTGCATCTTAAGTCTAGGACGCCTTTTGGTTTATTTTTTTGAAAGTACATTTGATTAGCCATAGAATGATATATAAATCAGAGATAATTGTAAAGAAAAATGCAAATATTTTATAGCCTTAAATTTTTTTATGTTTTATTATAAAATTTTGATCGAGCGTTACTAGGTTGATAGCTGAAAATGCTGAAAATGTTGATCAAAATTATTAAATTATCATTTATAAAATATGTCGATTATTTGATTACAAAAAAACAAAAGAATTTAATCGCGAAAAAAAAAATTAATTTTATTTCCGTTTATTGTTTTCAAACTTTTATTTAATTAATTAATTAATTTGTATTGCATAAAATGATCTGGCCAATCATTTCAATCTCTAAATCGACCAAAAATGGACCGTCAATGAATGCAAGAAAGAAATTTATTTGATGTAACTTAAATATGAGAAATAAAACTATGTTTTTGATTGTAATTTAAGCAGGGTGCTGTGAATGTGATCCAGGAACGAGTTTTTTTACAATTTGAAGTAAGGAAAGACAAAATGAAAAATGACGAAATAGATGAGAAATAGCGAAATATTATTACAAATAAAGTCAGACTTGTCTATAATCACCACTTTTAGTCACATAGAAATTTTTTCAAACTATGTGCTTATAAAAGGTTTTATAATATAGAGGTATTTTTTTTTATTAATTTAATAATAACTGGTTTGAATATAGGCTGATTATAAAAAGGTTTTTATATGATGTGATTATAGAGGTTGATTATATAACTGACTATAGCAATCTACCATCGCTATATTTATATTTCTGACTGTAATTAGAATGGATAATTTTTTATATGTCAAATTTATTATAATAATAAGAGGGAATAAAAAACGGTATTTTTTATTAAAGTTACACTCATACAACTAAAAGGGCCAATGGGTAAGAATTGTAATTCCTCAAAGTATTATTTTTTAATACTTTATGAAATAACAAAAGATCATGAAGCTGCTGAATATATGGTGATTTTGGAATATGTACATTAAGAACTTCATTACTCATTGATTTTTGAACTTTACACATTCAATCCATAATTCGAATATCACTTTTACGAAAATAAAGCAAAAAGTTATTACTCGTGAAAAGCTTGCTTTAGCTATTTGCAATGGTTCAAAGTCCAAGAATTGCTAAAGGAACATCAAAAATGGTTTATTGATCAAGTTTATAAATTCCTTGTTAAATTCAGAATTGTATTAGAAACAAAGGGATTTTTAAAATAAGTATGATACTTTACAAGAAACTTCCCCTGTCAAAATTTTAGGGAAGATAAATATAACTTTACTTTTAGTTATTATTATTATTATTTTAACAGACATTAAAACCAGATTCTCAATCAATTGACCTTCTGAATTTCTAATCAAGAAATTTTGATGATTTGGGTATTAAACCAAATATAAATTTCTTTGATCTTTCTATATTAATTAGAATATTTGATTCCTAAATTCGAATTTGACAAATATTCGAATAAATTATATAAATATTTGCTTGTCAGTAAGTTTAATATTTCATAAATAGTTAGAAAGAATTTAGAAAGAACATTATTCCGCCTTTGTATACGTTACATTTGTTACATTTTCGCTTACATTCTCAATTAATCGAATTCAAATATACTGTAGATTCATATTTTTACTACAAAATATTTTTTTTTTGTGAATTTAATGGAACAACGAATTATCGTACTATTCTGACAAAGAATTTATGCAATAAAATAAACATACATAACACAAAAGTTTATTATGATTTAATTGTAGCTCTTCAGTACGACAAATATTTCTTGAATCGGATAATGTTGATTGGTGTTCAAATGAAGCTAATTGTTTTTATATGAAATGAATGTTTGAAACTACAATGAAACGGACCAAAGGTTACTAAGGATAGTTTATCCGGATCAGGTAAAAAGAAAGAATAGAAGCAATACCTCTCGTTTCCTTCTTTTTTTTAAAAAAAATTTTTGAGGAGAGGTATATTCTGTGTCATTTAACTTATATTCTTTTAGGAAATTATCAAGTTTGAATGGTATATAGTTTAAAAGCTTTATGCTATATCTGTTATGCATAATGCAATGCAATGCTTAAAGATTAGGATTTATTCGATAATCGTTATTCATGTGATACAACATTTTTTTTTGTTAGATTTCGATGATAAAACAAAAAAAAAAATAAAGAAGATCAACAAAACATTACATTGAATTCCTTATCGGTTCTATTTGTTTACATTCCTTTCATTTTAAAATTTCAAAGAAATTTTATTACCCTATTTTTTTTTATGCATCTTTAATTAGAATATTGGAACCTTTTCCTTTTTTTGGTCATAGATACGCTTTTGCTTCTGACACCCTCAAAAATAATTCTATCAACTCTATCAACTCATCTCGTTTTATTACAATGTTGATAAGAAATCACGAATGTTCATCATGAAGGTGCTTTCAATATGGTAAAATGTGATGTCGCGTGCTATGTGTAACATTGGATTATTCTTTGGAAACATGAAATATTTATTGTGCGTATGAGTAATTTCTTTCGATAAGAGGTTTTTCTCGTCATATAAGGCTATTTCTCATCATCAATGCGGAGGGACACCAACTTATGATGTAAATAGAGATTTAACTTCAATTACCGTAGTGATATTTGCAAATTGATGGCAAATTATCGAACACCTCTATTGGGCAACAGATGTGTTACGTCGTACATTCACGTGATCAAGAAGACGCAAAAGTGTTTCTCACTATGGAAGTTAATCTTTTTTTTATAATCGTTAGAATCGTTATATATAATTTGTGGAATTCTGGATAAAAAAATACTTTATAATTCTCCCAATACTACTAGGCTCAATTTTGTCTTTTTTTTTCATAGAATATGTTCGATCTTCAATAAGCAAAACTCGTGTAGCATGTGAGACTTCAAAAAAAAAATTTTGTCCCCTAATTCATTAAATGCAGAATTACATCGGTGATTTCTAATTACCCACTCAATGCGGGAATAACATAATGAGGTACAGTAGATCATTTAAAATTATTTTCAACAAAATTTGCATTTACTGACACCATTATTTATACAGTATACTGTATTTTATACAGTATTTTTTGTTTTTTTTTTATTATATGAAATTACTTATCTAAAAAACTTGATTTTTTTTTTTTTTTTGTATTTTACAAGTTTAACTAGGAGTAAGGTAAATTTTCAAAATTCATTTGTTTGAGTTTATTTTGATTATATAATAAACATTGTTTATCGTACGGGGCGTTCTTTAATCATGGACATGCGTTGCATATTATTAAAGTGGTGCCCTGAACAATCAAGTACGAATATTCTTTTTTTTCAATTTACACATGAATGTTTAGTGGGACAAGGGTTCTTTTTATAAATTAACCATAGAGGTTATTTTACTTTTTGATTATCATGCGTGTTGAACAGTATCTATCATTTTCCTCTTTTCCTTCCTAAATGAACCATGAAATATTAAGCACCTTAATTATTTATGTCACATTTCCATAATGTGTAAATTCTAAATTTCAAATGAAATCACATAAAAAGGCCTTTATCATTTATGGATGTGTGAATAAACTTACATCACCTATCGTCAAATAAACAATATTTCTCTTGGAAAAAAAAAATACCAATAAAAAATCAAAATCATATTACACGGAATCTAAACCTCAAATGAGAGCGTAGAGGTAAAACACAAACCCTTGGTCAAGGTTTTTAAACGATCGAATAATTAATATGAATCATGTACTCATGTAACGAATATTTTGTGTAGTTTCTCAGGATGACAAACAAGTTTCTAATAATTTATATGTGCCAGCAAGATCTGTATCACCATGGACTTTCACGAGCGCGTTAAAATAAGGTACAGTACATTGGTTATATGGTAGAAATTATGAACTTTGCACAGTATCAAACTAATAACGTTTTAATAATTACTTATCAAGCGTGCCAATCTACCCGTTTTTGACATATTGGAAATGATTTTTTTTTGGTGCAGATGATTATGAGTCAGGGCTGACGTTTTAGTAGAATAGAGTACAGTATATATTCATACAATGTAAAACGAATAAAAATTGTAAGATGCAAGTGTTACCTTACCTCTATGATTAATTAATTACCGTAACGTGCGAATAATCGGTGCGGTAGTCTAAAAATGATTGGCTGTAAAATTTCGAACCTTTTCTTCTTTAAAAAAAAGCCATGAATTAACAAATTCATATATTAATCTTTTCTGGAAAGTGAGTTTCCAAGGGTGAAAAATGGGTCGTTTACGAGTAACGAGACGATGACATCTATAAAAACCACTTACAATATGGAATGTTGTGTAAAGCTTGGTTCCCCTATTCTTTTAATCTGTACGCGATGTGACTTCATTTATTATTCTGTTTTCATTTCAATAATCTACTTTTAAAGCAACCTTGTTCTTAATAGGAATGGTTGTTAGAGTACATTGTGCAAATAATGATCAACAAGATCCTACCGATTAAGCAAATTTAATCTCTGGATAAATAATGGAATACTAATTTGAGACGTGTAAAATGTTTCGATTAATTGGTTAACAGAGAAATATGCAATCAGCGATCTTTTTGAAATTTCTATGCCAAGAAATAATTTGACGATCGTTCTTTGTTTCAAAATGAGACAAAAAATAAATAAATAAATAAAAAAAAAAAAACGGAAATTAATGAAAAATATTTATATAAAGATGAATTTTCATACAAAGTTTTTGTTATTTCCTTTCCTTTTCTAATTTTTTTTTTTTTCCTTTAGTTGGTCAACTAGATTTTTTTTTTTTTTAAATGCATAACGTTGATGAAATAGTGGATTCCTTCTGAACGTATTTGTGTAAAAATTTCATTTTACCCATTGATTTACGTCATAACTATATATTGTGTAATTACAAATCATTTGATTACATGTCTCAGTCGTACAAAGTTGCACAAATTGCTTCACTTTTTTACATTTTAAACCTGATAAAGTCAAATTAATCAACTAAAAAAAAAAAAAAAATATGTCTGGGCCGCTTACAGCCGACTGTCTTAATGAAATGTTAGAGTATTTAGAGGATGATAAGGTTACTTTACATTCTTGCCTGCTGGTCAATATTGACTGGTGTAAGGCTTCTGTAAGAATATTATGGAGAAACGTTTGGAATCTCATTTATGACTCTTACGATAATCATAAAGTGGAACGTTCAATTATCAACACCTTGGTCTCTTGTCTTCCTAACGAATCAAAAGACTTGCTATATAAAAATAACATTGGTATCAAACCCCCTTGGAGATCTCCAATACTAAATTACGCATCATATTGCAAAGTTCTTCCGATTCGTGAGATCGTTTTAATGATTAAAAGGGTCCTCAAAAATCAACTTATGCATTCACAATATTCAAAATATAGTAAATATTTGATAACGCAAGAATTATTCAAAATGTTCATGAACCAAATCACATCATTAAAGTCTTTGGATTATAGATTAGGATATATTAAACAAGTTCAAAATGTCACTTTCACCTACTTTTCTGGGGCAAAGAATTGTTTAAAGGATCTTTCAGAATTCAAGTGTGACTCTAATATTTATTTTGAAGTTTTCTATCAGTTATCACAAATCTGTCATAACATAGAATCGATGTCGATATCATTCAAAGAGAACATTTCTGATGGTCTGGCGGATTTAATCTCATCACAAAAGAATTTGAAACAGTTAAAATTAATGCAATCTCATAATGGGATGGATTGGTCGGTCATAATACCCTCAATGAAAAACCTTTCTACCAGCTTAACAAAATTGGCATTATTTGGAGAGAATAATATACCAATGTCATTCATTTCTTTATTCACAAATTTACAAGAAATTATCTTTTCATTTGAACACTTGGGATCTTTTGATGATTTCAGTGAATTACAACATGTTCGATTTCCACATTTAAAAGTTTTAAAATTTAAGTATGAATGTCCAAAATACAAATATCTGAATAAATTTTTAGAGGTTAATGGAATGAATTTAAAAGAATTCAACGTAAATTATGACAACGATTCATTAAATTTTTCCATTGCAAAATATTGTCCAAACCTTAAATCGCTCTTCACTATATTCATTGATAATGATGTGAAAACTTTTAAGTCTATTTTAGAAAGTTGCCAACAATTAGAAAGTATTAAAGTTTTGTGTGGTGACGAATATCTAAATGAAAAGCATGTCTTGAATATCATCGCAAAATATTCACCAAAAAGTTTTCACACGTTAAAGTTGTATAATGAAATGGACTCAGATTTGCTTCCAATAGATTTGGAGAACTTTCTTATCAATTGGGAGAAACGAGTTCCAAAGTTATCACTTTCTTTGATTGTTATTAAAAGTAATCGTGTAAATAGTTTAGAGAATAATGAAGAAAATATGAGAATAATTGAAAAATATAAGAAATTGGGTGTTATTGAGAAATTTAGAATTGACGAATTTAATAGCTAATAGAATTAAGGTTTATTATGTATATGATTTTTTACTTTTACTATAATAAAAAAGATTTTTTAAATCATTATGATCTAAATATGATAAATTTTGGCCTTAAATCAATTTCAAGCAAGTAAATTTTCATTGAGATAATATTTATACAGATGTATTCTATTTGATCTTTGCAAAAAAATTCTTTCCTCGCGTGTAAAGTCCCAATTTCAACTAGTGAAATCTTTGGGCTTCGTAATTATCAACATGGTTTTATATTGTTGCACGCAGTTCGAGACGTTTATTAGTTATAAACAAGAAAAATGTAAGCAGGTTTATTTATTTAAATGTTTTATTAATAACAAATGAAAATCTAACGTAAATCAGGTATTGTCCGAATTTATTATATACTTTCGTTATCGTTACAAATAAAAGGGAAAGGGATATATGATATACCGATATACTAATGTTAGGGAACACACCTTTCTACTCAAGCGAAACCCGCTTCTTTTATACTTCAAACCCAGCAAGGACTAATTGTTCGGAGGCCTTTTTGTCCTCGAAACATAATGGCCGGATGGCATATTGGCCAGGTGACTAATTGGCCGGAGGCCATGGGACAATTATGCCAACGATCTACAAAAAGTCTAAATAAAACCTAAAAATTAAACTAAACAGAAATGGGACACAATGCCCCGGAACTAATAGAACGTGATTGAACGATTAGATTGCTAATTCATTTCCGTAACAATATCGTCAAATGCCAATTAAGGTATGACTAATAGGTCCTCACGACTATCATCTCACCCGACAATGCTAATCAATAAGTGATAGAAACATTACAATAATATAATATATTCAAAGTTCAGGATAACTTCAATTAACATCAATGCGAGTATATTTGAATTTACTTCAAGGAAGAGTCCTTTTTGAATAATTTCGAATCTTCGAATTTCATATTTGAAAGCTTTTAGAATGGAAAAATCGCTCATGATTTCGTTATCACGACGCGAATTTTTCGATGGGTAGATCAATCATAATTGCTTAAATTTTAAAACCTTATAATGCGGTTCATAAAAAATAATAGCCTTAAGGATTTACTGAATCACATATCACATCCCAATTCCAAGATAGAAATATAAACCTTATATTTTTATCAATTATCGTCGCAAGTTTGATATTTGATTAATAAATTTGAAAACTATTTATTAATATTAATGTGGAATAATAGGAATTTTTTTTTTCAATCTATAACCTAATGACCGATCGTAATTGATCCGCAATTTCATGTCATACTTCTCAACTGGAATTTCATCTATAATTTTTAAGTGATGTATGTCCATGACAAATTTTTATTATACATTCAATTATCAAATATCCTGTAATATTTACTCCGTATGAAGTTTCTTCTTCCTAATTGGTTGCTAATAGTGTTAATAGCAGTTCTTTAGTGCTTATGTAAGTAGAAGGTTTCGTGTTTTAATGAATTTTATTAATAATCACGCAGTTTCTATTCTAATACAACATAGATAAAGTATTGCCTCAATGTCGGCGTCTATGCAATCAGGTATGTTATTATTTAGTGTTTCGGAGACAATAAAATGCGAAGGGAAAGAGGAAATAATACTAAATGCTATTGTTTTATTATTCAGATATATCGGACGTTAATTTAATAAAGGAAAAATCCCGTCATTATATACAAAAAAATAAAGGACATTATTATCCAGAAGACAAAATTGGCCAGATGACAATTTTGGCCGGGAAACAAATATTGGCCCGGGACAAATTTGCTACAACGGGTCTAACTTAATGTTTCGCTAAATTTTTTTTTTTATTAATATTTGTATAATTGTAAATATAAGTTAATATAATAAATGTAACAATAGCACTTTGAAAGCAAAACTTAATATACATATGCATCCTCTGTTTATTTTCTCATTGTAACCTCACGCCGTTCTGCTGGTGTTATTTTTTCTAGATATCTGAGTCAGGTCTCCGAGTATATTATTCATTTTTGTTGACATTATCATTCATTCCAATCCGTCTTTACATTTTTTTCCTGCGTTGCCAATCACATAGTTATATTTTCAACATTCGTGTAAACATTTTCATTAGAAAACTTGTTGATGGAATTTCCTGCTTTTGTAGAGTTTAAATGTCGAGATAGACACCTCTCTCAGAGTTGAGTTTGTTACTGAATTTTAACGCATTGACGTTGTATTCATTATTCTGCGTTAGCTCCTTTAAATTTCAGAATATATATAAAATGTGATTATATAAAAAAAATTTAAAAGTGATGTTCTGATCGGGTAAATTTTATTCATAGATGACGCATTTATCATCCTCATGAAATTATATTAAATAATCAAGATGGCATCGACTACCGTCTGAACATTATTTCAAATAAATAACGAAGAGTTCCATATGAACTGGAAATATAAAAAAAAAAGACGATAAACTTTTTAATGCTTGTTTCATTAGATATGAGACTTTGTTGTCAAGTATTTTTCGATTTAACACCAATCAAACTTAATCTCTATAAAATGTAGACCGGTGGTCATTATTGTGCTAGATATGCACCGGGTATATAGAAAACTAAAACTGGTATGGTACGAATCATTTTGACCGGTACGGTACGATTTTGCAGATCAGTACATTTCGTGAAAATTTTATCGTACCGTACTGTACTTAATAGTATTTAAACCAGAACGACGGTACAGAATAAATTATAAATTCGTACCGTACCGTACTGGTAGTATAAATATATGATATATTATTATAGACCAGTACGAATTTATAAAATTTTCCGTACCGTCGTACTTGGTAAACGTGTATCATAATCATTTACTGCGTCATTAGGGTGTACAGGATGTGTTGATCACGATTTTGACAAATTTTTTACGATCTTGTGTTGACGACATTCAAATTTAATTGGGTGATTTAGTCGACCACATGATCAAAATATTCATACTCTAGGTTGTTTACTCTGAAATTATGTTATTAGAAGAACTCTTTGACAAAGTTCAAATCTAAGGGAGGGAAATATAACGTAAATTTTGGGATTGATGTCAATTTTATTTTCTTGCAGATCATATAAATCCTGATATAGTCAATGTAGATCAATGTCGATCCAGATGTCAACTGTGCAATCGATTTTATCAACTTTATTTCCTAAGACCATGGTTGGAGATTTTTTTTTTTTTATGGTTTATCTTTCTATTAATAGGAAAGCAATCATGTATAGAATTAAATAAAATGTTTTTTTTTAGAACATATATATAATATAATTATTAATAATGGGAATTTTTTTTTATGACTATGATACAGTATCGCGCTATAAGAATTATCATTTTGGTCGATTTAATTTCGTTTCGTCTAATATTAAGAAGCAATCAATTAGTTCAAAAAAGAAAAAAGATATTGTATCACCAATACTCTCGGCGAATAATTTAAATATTGTCTAGGCATCAACATTCATGTTCTTACTAAGCTCGTTTTAAGTGTGGAATGGGATATTCGTGTAAACCAATCAATATAAATATTCCTACAAATACAATTATTTTTAATAAATATATAGGAAATTTGATGTATTGCAAGACCTTTTTTTTCCGATAAACCAAATTCACGATATAGAGATATAGATACAAGTGTTGAATTTCTGTATTTGAACCTTATTTATCTTCTTTAGTATTTTTATTTTTATTTCAGATACTTCGATTCTGAAGCAAGAAGATACTTCACAATTGGCATATGATAATAATTCAACAACCTATAGTTAATATTGTCATTATTTATTTATTAATTTATTTAACTTTTGAACGTCCAAAGTTGAATTACATTATGAAGGTGAAGTCGGATTTTAAATAGGAAAATAAATTCCAAATCCATTGAAAATTTTTTTTTGAACAAATAGCTCGAATTATTTTCTGGATAGATTTTGAGGTTTGTATTTAAGGTTATTTTTTTTTCCTAAATATTATGAATATAAAATCCAAAGTGGTAAATAACATGTTATCCGACATTGTTGAAATCCAAGATGGAGTAGAATTAAAATTTAGATATGCTTATACTTATCATACTAGGCTTTGTTTTAAGAAAGTAAAGGTGATTTTATACATCTTGATGAATGGTGTCATAATGAGTCATATGATTTCACAAAATGCTTCATATTACGACGAGACTATTTCAGTGTAAGCTATAATTAATTATTCAAGTCGGTTAGTTTAAAAGCTAATTTTAGACAAGTTAAATACCAGTTTCTTTAAGCATTGTATTTAGTTACTTCAAATAAAAAGATTAATCTCATAAATTGACAAGATCAAATCACAAAAGATTTACATTATTAATTAATTATTCGAGGTTTAGTAAAGAAAAAAAATAATCATGTTAATTTTCGTTTTCCATATTGGCACGTTCTAAAATAAACTGATTAAAAAATTTGAAATGAATTTGTGAATGATTTTTTTTTAATAAATTTAATAAAAAATTGATAATCATTACTAAATGGATAAATTACATATAAAAAAATGCAATGATAATTAATTTTTGGTATGCCAACAATTATAAAATGTATAAATCGAAAGTTTTTGACAATATCTTTGGAGTAAATGAATGTTGACGCTTTACATGTCACAATTCATCATGTTGAACCTGTCAAACCTTACGTCAGCAATATGGTTTGTATCACATAAACTTGCATAAAAATGACACTAAATCTTATTGTGAAAGTAAAAATTTTTTTCTTCTCAAAGAACAAGAAAAAAAAAATGCTCATTACTGATTGCCTTAATGAAGTTTTTGAATTCTTAGAGGAAGATCATTATACCTTACATTCATGCTTACTGGTTAATCGTTTTTGGTGTAAAGTTTCCGTTAGAAATTTATGGAGGAATGTATGGGATTTTAAATATAATTTTCCCGTTATACGTCAAATGTGTATATCATCAAAAATCCTTAGCACCTTGATCGCCTGCCTTCCTAATGATTTAAGAGATTATTTAAATGATAATGGAATTTTTATTTACACTCCAACGTCGAAATCTCCATTGTTCAATTATATATCATTCTGTAGGGTTCTTTCAATTCATGAAATTGATCGAATCATCTTTGATGTTCTTAAATGTCAACAAGCTGATATCCCACAAAGTTTAAATCGAAATAGACATCTAGTATCACGAGCAATATTAAAGATGTTTATGAGACAGATTCCTTGTCTGAAAGAATTGAATTTCCTTTCAATGGGGAATATAAGAAACATTTCCAATATCGGTTTCACATACTTTCCTGGAGCAACAGAGTGCCTAAGAGAACTTTCAATATTAAGCTGTAGTTCTGATGTTTATTCCGAATTCTTTTATCAACTCTCTCAAATATGTGGGAATATACAATCCATAAGTATCAAATTTGAAGGCTTTGTTTCACATGGATTAAAGGATTTGATATCTTCACAGAAATATTTAAAACAATTGAGTTTAACACAATATTCTCATAAAGTGAAATGGAAAGATGTTATATCTTTATTAACAAGTAGTTCTGATACTTTAACAAATATTAAAGTACTGGTTTTATCACTTAATCATATGGGAAATTTCGAAGATTTCAAGGAGTTACAACATGTTACATTCTCACTATTACAAAACTTAAAATTTCCTCATAGATTTCCAGAATGTGAATACTTGTATAAATTTTTGGAAATCAATGGAAAGAATTTAAAATGTCTTCACATTGCCGATTCTGATCGTTCATTAAATTTACTTATAGCCAAATCTTGTCCGAACCTTAGAATATTAACTACTACATTCACGGATAATGAAATTGATACATTGGAAATTATTTTGAGTAATTGTCAACAGTTGGAAAGCATTAAAGTTTGGTGTGGTTATGGATGTCTGGATGAAAAAATCTTGTTGGAAATCTTGACAGATTTTTCACCAAGAAATTTTTATAAATTAAAATTAATACATAAAGCAAATTCTAGATTGTTTCCGAAAGATCTGGAAGAATTCTTCGTAAGATGGAGTCATCGTGTACCACTAAAACCGCTTGTTTTAATCATTATTAAAAGGTATCGCGTGAAGAGCTTAGAAATTCAAAGAGAAAATATGAAAGTACTTGAAAAATATAAAAAGTTGGGTGTTATTAAAAAATTGGAAACCGTAAAATTTGACGATGATTAGATTTTGTTACCGTTATTTTTATTTACAGTTATAGTATCAATATTTTAATTTACTGTTTTCAAGGAAACGAATATCGCATTTTAAGCAAATATTTTACTTTATTATTTATTTCTTTTTTTTTAAAAAAACTTAATGAATTGCATGTACATATATAGAGATATTTCTATCGATTGTTTATATAATAGTTTTTAATGACTTACTCTGATTGCTTAAATGAACTATTTAGAGGAAGAAAATTTCTTTACGTCTTCGTTTCTGGTTTAAGTTACGACTAGAAATTTATGGAAAAATATTTGGCTTTTAATAATTATCACCAGCAATTCTTATAACATGATGGCTTGTCTTCATAAGACCCTTTCCTTTATATTTGGATAGAATGTTTATTCCAACACCAACTTTGAAACCACCATTATTAATCAAATTATTGAATCTGCTCTAATGACTAAGCCAATTGGTCCTTCACGAAGCAAGGATATATTTTTAATAACACGAGAATTATTGAAAATTCTATGAATCTTAAAAAAATTTTAGATTGAAAATATGATGCATTGAAATTCAAAAATGATTATTAGAACATTTTTCGTTAAACAAAGATTGTTCAATATAAGCTTTAAATATACATTACAGCGTATATTAAAACAAGTGACTTCACAAAATAATTTTGCAAATTTGAATATAAACATCTTCAATGTAAATATATTCATGAATTCGTTATTTCTTTAAGTCGAGTATTTATCCAAAAATATAAAAAATCAAATGGTCCAATAAAAATTGTAATTTTATTTATATGCTATGCTAAATTAATATAACGAAACGAAATGATGATCATAATATAAAGTTTTGTTAAATTTCAACTTTAGAAACGGCTAATTTAAGGCTGGAATCGGGCTTACTAACAAAACCAGCTTTTTTCTTTAGAGGAAATCCTTTAACAGTTTGAAAAACAAAATTTCTAATTAATACGCTTAATAATATTTTAATTTCAATTAGGCCTATTTTGTGACCTAGACAGAATCTAATCCCAGCACTGAAAGGCAAATAATTATAATTTGTTACATCCTTAATTAAAGAAGGATTTAACCATCTTTTTGGATCAAAAATATCAGCTGTTGGTCCCCAAATTGAAGGTAATCTATGAAGTGTAAAAATTGGAATATCAAGAGTAGTACCCTATTAAACAAATCATTAGTATAATTTAACTATCCTTGAAAGAAAAGCAAATAAATATTTGGTTCAATAAACGTACCTTTGGAATAAAATATTCGCCAAAGGTTTGATCTTTAGCATTAACTCGTTGTAAAGTAGTTACTAAAAATGAATAGTAGTTAATAAAACTGGGATAAAATATTTTTTGATCAAAAAGTTTAAATATATACATATTGGATATAATCTTAATACTTCTTTAACTATACAATTTAAGTATTCCAAAGTATTGATTTCATCAAATGTAGGATTGAAGTTTGATTTATCAGGAAAGGCCCTAACCAATTCTTCACGTAATAAATCTTGTTCGTGTGGATGTTGTGCAAGTAAGTATAAAGCCCAAGACATCGAACTATTTATAGCTTCATGTCCTGCTGTTGTTAGTGTCATAACCTAAATTATCCAAAGAAAACAAAATAATATTAAATGATTAATATATTAATTATTCCAATAAATTTTAAAAAATATATATATTTTTTTTTTTAACTACCTGGCTTTTTAGTTCCTCTTTAGTCATCTGTTTTTCAATAGGTAATGTTTCGTTGACATGAATTATTGTAGCCATTAAATTAGTTTCATTTTTCAATTTATCATTGTATTTTCTTTCAACCATCTTTGCCGATTCGCGTTCAATAACTTCACATGCTCTATTAAACCTTTTGTTTATTTGTATTGGAACTTTTCTAAGGAATGGGATATAGGGGGATAAAATACCAATACTAATGTATAAAAAGTTCATTTTGGCATTCAAATAAGAGTCAAAAGCTTCTGCTAATTCATTTGGAGATGATAGCGAATCAAATTCGTAATTATATCCTAAAAATAAAAAGGTTTATAAAACAAAAAAAATGAGGAGCAAGGTTCTTTTAAAAAAAAAAGAAAAAATTGTATTTTTCTTTACCAATTAAACCAAAGATATCTAAAGAAGTTTTAAAGATATATGGAGAAAGGTTAAATTTTGATTCATCTTCATTTACTTCATCGTCAATGAACTTTTTTAATTTAAGAGCTACGTGAACCATTTTTGGAACCATATCCTAAAATTATTTTTTTTAAAAATAAAAAAAAATGGACAATTTAATTATTATTTTTATTTCGATTGTATCTGTTACAATAAAGTTCCGTACTTTAATAAAATTATGAGCGAAAGCAGGTTTCATCGTTTCTCTTTGTCTCTTGTGAGTTTCTCCTTCTACAATAGCAATACTTTGACCAAGTATGCGTATAAGATCACCTTTTATCATTTTAACTTTAACAAATTCATGATTTGAGACAATTTCATGTATTAATTTTGCATCTGTGACTATAATAGCTGGTTCATTTAATAATCCGTGATATTTGACAAATTTTCCATATCTTTTTACCCATTTAAGGTGTGCTTCACCAGACTAAAATATATATATATATTAATAAATTATTGTCAATTTAACAAGCAAAAATTAGTTATAAATTAACTGACCTCTTCTACGAAAAAAGTTTTAAGGTTTCCATAAAGAAAATTTTCAGAAGGTGGGCCTGGAAATTTTCTCAAAGGAGAAATATAATATGGCCAAATATATACTTTATAAGTAAACCAACCTATAACGATTAGAACAAAATAACTAACTAAAGAAATTAATTCAAGCATTTTTTGGTTTAAACAATTGGGTTGTGATCTAAGAAAATCAAATTCTGAGATTTTAATTGCATTTTAATTTTTATTATATTTAGACCAAAATGTAATAAGTCAAAAATTTCTCAGAACCTGATTTTCTTTGATCACAACCCAATTGTGTGTTGGTTATTAAATTAACTATTATTGTCGTACGAAATATCCATAAAAGTACCCAATCGCAGCTTTTCGTATTAAATTGAACAAATATCGCACTACTTCATTTTGTGTTTTATATAACAAAGCAACTAAATTAAGTAATTTGATAGAATAGTTTCTCAACATATACATGAGTTTCGTCTTGAAATTAATGTATTTTTTAAGATCCTTTTAAAGTATGGACAAATACAAAGTTTTGACAATAAAAATATATGTAAATTTACAAGAGAAAAAAGGTTACAAAGGTGGGTTTTCAGATAGTTTTTATGTAAAATTTAAAAATCATTTTTTTATAATAAAATAAGATTTTTATTTTTATTTAATAAAAGGTTTTTGCTCTTAAATTTTCTTTCTATTTCATCCATCCTAATGTTACTTTAAAGATATAATATTTATTCAACTTTTTCATTAGTAGAAGAATTTGGTATCTTCCAACTTTGAAGTATTTTTTTTCATATTATGATGCTATATGATGCATGATTTTTACTTTTTTTTTGTTGAAGACTAAATTCCCCACTCTAAGAAGTTTTTTAGTCAGTTTAAAAATTTCCGAAAATAGTATTTTTCAGTAGTGGAATATCTTCTAAAGTTAAGTAAGAAGTTTGTTTAATATTTATTAGAATTGATTATTTAAAAAAAAATCTAAAAATAAATTCTAATTAAGATATTTTCAACCATACCACAAGTAAAAAAAATTAGGAGTTTCAAAAATCCAAGTAAAAATAAGTTATATCTGTAATATCAATAAAATGTATTATAATATATTTATAAAAATATAAAAGCAAATAAAAAAATATATATTAAACAAAAATTTATTTTAATAGATATATCTTTTAAGAATTTTTATTCAAACCTTTCAAACTTTAATCAAATAGTAAATTTTATCACATATTTTCTTTTAACAGATGATAAACTTTTAAATTGTTAATATAAAGTTGAAATTTATTTAAAGATATCATCTATTCAAATAAAATAATTTTTATTAAAAAATAAATTCATTTTGTATTAAATTTTAATTTAACAAAAATTTTTGTGAAAAAATTTATAAGTTTATAAGCAAATTTGTCTTTTTTCTATTAAGATTCACTAAAAATGATTGAATTTTAAAGTTGATAAATTAATAGTTACAAACTAATTGAATATTTATATCAAAAAAAATTCTGAAAGTATAATTTCACAGTTTACTTATCGATGATATAAAAAAAGATGTAAAATATCATATAAAATCACTTGATAAAATGATTAATACTATATGTAACTCCATTTATTACTCAAAATTGAAAACATATAATTTGCTCCAAATATTTCATTAGTTTTTTATCTGAGAATTTTTTTTTTGGTATTTTACTTTTTGATAATATTATATTCAAATATTTCCTAAACTTAATTATATTATAATAATTAAAAAAATGAATCTTTACTATTAAAGTCAAATGTTAAATCTTTTTTAAATTTATTATTTATATTCTATTTTAAAACATATAAATAAATAAAAAAAAAAATTATTCTGAAATAATTGCTTTTATTTCAATCATTATCAATTTTGATTGAGTTTTTTTCTTTTTCAAATCAAACTCATCCTTCTATCTACTATTATTATCATCTTCCATTCTTCTGCAGAAAATTCTAACTTAAAAGTGACATTATCAATTCCTTCTCTATTATTCAATTCATATTGTGTTAGATGATTATTATTGCTTCTTTTTTTTTGGTTCAAACCTACTATTTAATGTCCAAAACTGTTACTTGTAAAGTTTATGTCATTTCTTAATAGATGGCATTTTTAATTTAATGAAAAAAATGTAAGAAAATGAAGATTTTCAATATCTTTGTTACTGCAATTTATTATTTGAAATTAAATTACATCATAAATTTATATAAAACTTATTATTTCAGTTTTTCTGAATTATTGATATTTATTAATAAAGATATATAATTTTATGCATTTTAAAACTTTTAATAGTCCACTAAAAAATCATATAATCTTAAATTAAAACTGATATATTGAAAAAAAACAACCTTCAGTATTAATTTTAAAAATTACATAAATATAAGATTAGATAGATTTGGTAGTTATATTAAATTTTTTATGAGTATAGATATATCACATCATATAATTAATAATAACTTATTTTTTTATTTTTATTAATATTTAATTGAGAATTGCTTGTCTTCGTCTAGGTAATTGATATTTGAGTAATTGACATTTAGGTGATCATCACCTGGATTTTATTTAAATATATTACATGATATATAATATATAAATAAATATAACTATTGTTTATTAATAATTATTAAATTTGCCCAATTAGTATATTTCAAATATATAAAAGGTTATGTTGAATTATATGATCAAGTCACATATATCTACGCTAAAATTAATAATTAATCCAATTAGAAAATTGTTATTTCAACCAATTAAGTAAAAGAAATTTGAGATGCACAGTAGAAAAATATGCAATAAACTGATAATCAGTATAATCAGTATATATTCATATGAAATCTGAATACAAATAGGTTTTTTTAAATAAAATTTTTTTATACTCAATCTTTCGCTTTGCATTTCACCTTTGCCATTACTTTTTTTATTATTTTGTTCTTAAACTTAAAAGTATAGCAAAACTAACAAATTTTATTAATTTGAATTTAAAGTTAATAAAAATTCATTTGATATTCTATATAGTTTAATTATCACAAATTTATGATGAAATTTAAAAAACTTTGAAAATTCAGGCTTATTTTAATATTTTAAACAGTTATAAATATTCACACTACTACTTACACTATTACTTTACCTCTATTATGTTTATGTAGTTAAAAAATGTATTATAAATATAGTAAGTATATCATATATTACATAATTATTGAATGCTAAAATCAGTTCTTTACTATCACTTTATCTCCTAAATCAAATCACTTTTTCTTAATCATAGAGCACTGAATTACAAAATAAATATAAATATGATAATGTAAATAAGCGTATCTTTTTGATGTATACTCTTCAGTAAATGAAAGAAAGATGATGTTAATGAAATACAAGCTGAATATGAATATGAAAGTGTGTTTAACAAAGAAAATAAAGAAAAATATTCATTATTTGACCTTGAGATTAGAGATGTATTTAAAAGCTAAGACTTTGCTGAAAAACAAGTTGATATTTCTGCAAAAAATACTGATTTTGAAGTAAAGAAGTTTCAGTTTGAGAAAAACAAAGAAGGTGAAATTGTTTATTGAACCTTTAAGTGCAGATGTTCAGAAATATATCATGTATAAAAGAGAGAATATTCATAAGTATAAAATATAAAAATCAATTGCTTCTGAACTATTAATCTTCAGCTCACTGGTGGTCTTGTATATGTTACCTCATTATGTAATAAACATAATTACTTTCTTGTTGAAACGAAAAATTTAGTATCAAATCATCATCTCAATTTAGAAATTCTTAAAGAAATCGAATTTCATGTAAATAATAGCTATAATGCCTTTTAATTATCTGTGTAATTTGAAAATATTTTCCTAAAATAGTAGTAACATGTATATAACATAATTTGTTATATTTGAAACAGTCAGAATAAATCAAAAACAAATGCTGCTAAAACATTTGAAAAATTAATAAAATTACAATATAAGGAATATGAGTGGTTTATTAAAGTAAAGCTGAAAGGTGAAAACAATCATCTTATAGGTCTTTTTGGATAAGACTATCACATATATAACTGTAAAGTAGGTTTTACAATATTATAATCAATAATAACACATTGCAAACAAATAAATATTAAATGTACCTATCTATTACTATAATAGTAGACAATTATACATGATCACGTATGATCATAACTACCATTATATCAGATAAAACTAAAGAAACTTATCAGTAGATTCTAGAATATTTACTGTCTGTTACAGATAATCTTACACTAAACATTTTATTTACTAATACAAACTCTACAATAGTATTAGCTATTCATAAAACACTATTATTAATAAAGCATAATTACTGTATTTTGTATCTACGTAAAATCATAATAAAAATTTAAGAGGTTGACTTCGTAAAAATTATAATAAATTTGTGAAAGAATGAAATAAATATTATAATTCCTTTTCAGAGAACAAATTTTAAAAATGATAGCATAAACTTTTTTGCTGACTATCTAGTAACAAAAAATACTTAACATATACACTTAGACAAATTGTAACTAGCTAAGTATTATGCTATACCAGTTGATCATTCAATGTAAGAATCCAGTCTACTCAGCATGTTGAGGGATATAATTCACTAATTAAACAATCAGTCAAAAGTCTAGCAATATTGTTTAAATTGGATACACATATCCAGTATATCTAGTTACTTTTCAATAAAGAAGAACAATTTGAATGGGATAAATAATTAAATCAAAATCCAAAAGTTAGTTTGTCAAATGTTATTGAGAGATACTTCAAAAAAATAGATGCTATCATTAAAAAATTTCTTACTTCTTGTATTTTAAAGATGCAGTATAATCAAATGAATGAAAGTTTACTTTATCATATAGATAAAATAAGGATTTACTCAAAAATGAGGTATAAATTGCAACATTGGTATTTACTTGCAAATCACATAAAATTAAACATTTTTATTCTATTTTTAGATTGTTATTGGTAAAGAATAAGATAAAAATAGTAAAGATAATGAAGAATAACAAATTAATAACGAAGAACAAGATGATGATGATGAATAAAATGATAATAATAAATAATCTGAAAAGTTGAATTTTTCTGAAGATAACTATAAATCATCAATATTCAACCTATATACTCTGATTACATATTTTAACCATACTAGCATTAGTAAGATTTAACATATAATAACAATCGAATAAAATAAAAAGCATTTCGTGATAATATATAATAATGCTAATCATTTATGTATATGCATAAAGCTTGTAGCAAGAGGATTAGTTTATTGTCATTTTTTTAATAATGTTTAATTTGAATAAGGTTATGTTTTATATAGGACTCATTTAGATTGATAGTACAATAAAAAGTTTCCTAATTTTCAAGAACCTACAATCACAATTTGTAGTGAAAAGAATACTATTGAACTTATATATGAATATTAAATTAGACTGAATTTTAGCCTATTATATAAGATTTATTATACATAAGCATTTTTGAAATCTGTAAAGCAAAATTTATCTTATCAATCCAAATATAATCAAAGTTTTAGTTATGTAAAGAAAGTAATTAGACTAACTCTTAAAATAAGCTATAAAGATAAATTAAATAAAATGTTACAAAAATAGATAAGAATGAAGAAAAATAAAACTCATTTTAGGCAACTAAAGACCAACAAAGAAAATTTTCTAAATATTAGCAATCCTTATCAAAAGTGTATAAAAGATATCAAGAAAGCATATAAAGAATATATCAGAAGGAAATCAAAAGTCAAAGTCAAGTAAAACTACTAGTATCTATTGATCGTAATATACAGTCAGAACTCGATATAATAAACCTTCTGATTTACTATGAAATTTTTTTAAAAAATCAGTTTATCAAAATTTATAAGTTCTATATAACGATTTTTATATGTTCAAATATAAAGTCAAATTTTTTAAAAAAATCGTTTTAACAAGATTTTATTAAGTGATCGTTATATCAAGAATCGTTATATCGAGTTCTGATTATATATATAGTTACTATAAAGGCATTGAATATAATACGTATAGACAGTGTTGTCATGGGACATAGTTAGGACACTGATGGGACACTAATGGGATATTGATAGGACAGATGGGACATTTGGGACATATATGGGACATAGTTGGGACATATAGTTGGACATATAGCTGGGACAGCAAATGCTTGGGACATAGGAAATGAACATCACTGCGTATAGATATAATCTAAAGAATTCCAAATCTAAATAATTTATAAATAATTAGTTTAAAATAGCGAATTGTTATTGTTTGCAATTATTTTAATAAAGGATTTTGAAAATAACATGTAATTAAATGTATAACAATTTATTGAATGAATGCATAAATTCAAATTCAAAACTCTGAAATAATGAAAAAATTAAAAAAATTAAAAAATTAAATTAAAGATCTAGTACAGTTGAACCTGCATTTCTAAGATTATAAAAAGATTATTTAATGTTCTAAACACTAAATTAACTGGATAAATTTAATAATTGTTAATAGATTATATTTATTTATATATTATAGATCATGTGATATATTTAAAAAACTCAAATGATAATCATCTAGGTATCAATCTTTTAGGTATCAATTACCTAGGCAATAGTAAGTAATTCACTATTTAATTTATATATTTAAAGGTGAATAAATGTAATAATAATATCTGTTTATATTGTAAACCTATTCGTCTTTATTATATGAATTTAATAACTTAAGTTTTTAAATATTATTATTTGAAACATAACTGCTAATTAGTTTAGATTTTTAATAGGGTTTATTTTTTAATATCAATAAAATATTAATTTTTTTTTAAAAAAATTAAACAATAAATATTATTATATATTTTTTCAAAATATTTATGAAACTAAAACTACTAAAGAGTTTAAACTAACATATATAGTATATAATTATAAGTGAATGCAAAGCCTATTTCAAAGTTTATCTTTATTAGAAGAAAAATCTGTGATTATAATAAGTGTAAAAATTATGAAAAAATATTGCTATATATAGTATATAGTGATAAATCTTTAAATTATAAAGAATAACAAGATTATCAATAAGCATTATAGTTATATTCATATTCTTGTGATTGATTGATTTTTCTAAAGATTATTATTTGAAAGAAACAGTATTTATATATATATAAATCAGTTGTGATTCACCTAAAATATTATTCAATCTATTATTATTATGAAGATAATAAAGATTTAATAATTTCTTAATCTTTAGAAGAATGTTTAAAACAAATATATCTGATGTGTAAAGATTATTAAAATCAAAAAATTTTTAATTAAAGGAGAGTTTAAAACTAATAAGCATGTATCAAAGCAGCATAAAATAAATATACAAATAAATCAATAAATATTACCAGATCATATTATATTTATATATATATTTCTTTTTAATATTTCCCAAATTGTGATATCTTATGTTAAGTTAAACAGAAATCCAAGTTAATACAGTCTTATATTAAGATAAATAGATTATATTTATCATAAGTAAATTATATTAACATATATATATTATAAGCAGATTATACTATTTTTATAATCTATCTTAAATTTCAAAATCATAATTAAATTATAGTAATTTAGTAAACATATAAACATTTATTTAATTATTTTCAATATATATTTTAACTACAAATTTTTTATAAAATTAAATAATTTTTTTAAAATAATATTAAAATAGAATAGTATTATAGATAAAATATCAATTATAATAATTATAATATTAATTTTTTTAATATATATAAGAAATACTATTTGATATGAAATTAATTAAAATTTTGTAAATTTTAAGATATTTATTTATGTAAATTTATATAAATTTTAGTAAATACTTAAAAAAAAAATAAAAAAATATTAATCAAAAGTATTATTTTGTTGAACAAAAAAGTTCGATTTAAGAATTAGAAAACTAACTCTATATATACATCTATATTACTATATTCAGACAAATAAAAACAAATAATGTTTTAACCTTTGAACCCTATTTGTTTTCGTATCTAATAAAGAAAATTGTAATTTAATTTAATTTAATTTAGCTACCACGTGATGCCTCTTTTACCGAATATACAGTAAAAATTCGATAGTTTAATTCTCGCGTAACCTAATATTCGAAACAAAGTTGAAATAAATTCATTTAAAAAATTAATATGTAACACGTACAAGACAATATTAACCTGATTATCCAAATAAAGTTAAAAAAGAAAAAATAATGATGATACAAATAATACAATGACCCTAATAAAAAAATAAGGTAGGAAGTTATGTGCAGGAAAAGCATGATGAGGACATAATACATTGCTCATTTCCTTATCGCGATGAGGAATCCTTAAGTTATAGATGCAACGAATATAAGCTATGGTATTTTGACGTGTATGATTTTATGAACTGTGCGAGTGTGCATTCATTTACGCCAGCGGGGATAGGAGTTGCCCCATATTTGAACTAATATACAGTACACTTGGCGCGAAACATTTTTTTTATCGTGGAAGAAATTACCTTAAGGAATTCTCATTAAATCAACACCTTGCATACAATATGTTATAAGCCGGAATGTACGGAGTTTCATTTGTACAGATGTACACACTCCACAAAAGTGGGCCGACAGGAATGTTAAAATGGCTTACATTTCACAGCATATACATCAACTCCGTGAGTTCTACTTTTTACCCCTTTCACTTCTACATGGTCAAAAAAATAAGCAACCCACATCGCCTTGACCATATGCCACGATTTTTTTTAATAAGTCACTCACATACGTCGAATCTGTAAAAGTATCGTAAATCTTTTTTTATCACATAAGGTATTCTAAAATATTTGAGCCTGCTGCGTCTATTAAATCAAGGACCCAAATTACAATTTTTTTTGTACCTTAATAAGGTTTTATTATTAAAGTTGTATTATTTATTGTAAGTTACACGACGCAGATGATCCAATCTATCCAAACATTTATTTATAATCGAAAAAAAATTTTATAACAACTTTAATAGTTAGTTTGAAACAGAATTTAAAGAATTTCCAGCCCACAAAACCAACTTTATTATAATTTTGGCGAATTATAATGTTTGTAAACAAACATGCTGTTTGTTAAAAATATCGAGCTATTGTTTAGGTAAATCAATGTTTATTGTTTTTAATAATGAGTCAAACACTCTGGAGAAGAATTGATTTTAAAAAAGGTAAGAAATATTACCATTATCTGAAGTCATTTAGATATTTTTGATTGCGACATTGAAACTTAAAGAATTTGTTTATTATGATTATGTCCATCGATCACAGATGGTTTTTTCATTGATGTGTTTCTATCGTTAAGGTCATGGTCAAAGTATCCTAACTTGCATTGATTAATTCCTTTTTCTCATTTTAACCTCTCTAAGTGTCGATTATTGATGTAGATGATTGATATTTGTTTATACTTTAGACATAAAAGTCATTATTATATCAGATTATTATTATATCAGATTATTTTAAACATCTTTTTTTTTTTTTTTTTACATGTTTCAAATATGCAAAATATGCAAATAATGGTAATGACACAAAGGAAGAATAAAAATGACAAGGATGCGAAAATTTTTTTTTTGCAGATATGATATTCAGTTAGAATTTCTAAGCATTTCTTATGAATGACACCAGATTTAGGTTTATAGAGAGCAATAATGTATTCTTACCTACTTTGTACTAATTCATACATAATTTAGTAATACTGAATGTGATGTTATGATAATCCTATTAGATTTATTGAAAAAGAAAAAAAAATCAGAAAACTGGTTTTTTTTTCCAATATATTACGCGTATTTAATATTGGCGCAGAAACAATAGATGTGTTATTGCATGTTTATTTTCATCATCTGACGATCTCTTCTTTAAATTAAAGTTTTATTGGACCTTGAATACAGTCTTGTTGACGTCTCTGTCGGCGGAAAACTCTATGAAATAAATAATGTGATTCAATTCCTTTGTTCAATAGAGTCCAAAGCTTTTTTTCCGCGAAGAAAAAAAAATGGCGTGCGTCAATTTTAATATATATGCGCCGCAGTATCTGAAACATGTTAGGTTGGTGATTGCGACCATTTTTGGGAATGCAATAAGTCTAATCACGAACATTCAATATACCTAGTTATATGCCTAATCATCTAAGTTATGGGGTAGATTATGGTAAAGATCAAGGGCCCACTTTATCATCATACATCCCTGAAAGTATCATCATGGATGTATCACTTGAATATTGTAAATTGTTGGTAAACAAGCAAATAGTTTAATTACTTTGTATATTATTATACCACGTTGTTAACCAATCAAATCTTGCTCGGATCGTCTTTTTTATTAATTCCAATTTCAATATCTGATGTTTATCTTCGAAAAATTTTATTTTATTTGATTTTTTATTTTTATTTTTAGTTTACAAATATTTATTATGCTATGCTTTATATTAGTGAAACAATAATTTTTAAAACGCGGTTTTTTTATATTAGTAAATCATCAAGAAAGATGGGTGAATTCAGCACGAATAGCTGCAATGCATTAGTACACATACAAACAAAAATACAACATTCCCCAACAATATCTATTTCTTTCTTCCCCTTTCTTTACTGTATATTTCCTTTTTTTTTTCTTTTCTCTTTCATTCTTTAATAATTTACCATATATACTATATGCATGTGTAATATATATATGTATGTATACTATATATAAATTACTAATCTTTTTTTTTTTTATTTTGTACTTTAAAAATTTATATTATTTGTTACTATAACCGTATACCTTCTACACTTTATTTCGAATATTCCATCCTAATATCCTTTCTCTTTATAAAGGCTCAAATTTCTTGTTGTTCCCAATTCCTTTCGACGCGCAATTCATTACAACTATTCGCGTTTTTAATCTGGAAAAAAAATTTATTTTGTGCATATCAAGAATACCAGTGCAAACTTTTTTTTTTTTTTTAAAAAAAAACGAAATTTCTGTACAAAAAAGGATTTTTACCAAAACGATTAAAAAAAAAAAAAATTTTTGTGAGTATATTTATTTTGCATCTTGCATCCCGAAGGAAGGAACGGCGAACGGCTACCCCCTTCTTAACGCTGTTGTGTTGACGTTCCCAACTGCAACCCAACTCAACATATCGCTTTATCACTATATCTTCCTATTTCACTTTATATTTTGTACGGTTACCTACTCGCATATTTTTTTTTTGCATAAACTTTATTCGCCCTTTCCCTTATGACACATTTTGCGACCGCATGGTTTGTTTAACAACAATCAACAGCGTAACCATACAAAAATAAAATAAAAAAAAAAATAAACACTTTACTAATATTTCACCAAATTTATTTAGTAAATCATGAACCTACATTCAGAACGTACTTCTTCCGTCTCCTTGTCATCTTCGACTTCCTCCTCTACTTCTTTGTCTTCCACCTCTTCAACATATATCAAACCCTCAACTAAAAGTAGTGGTGAAGCCTCTAGTAAAACCAGAACCTCATCAATATCCTTGGATAAAGCTAAATTTAGGGGTTCAAAATCTAAATCTTCCCCAGTTTCCCCAACAAAATCTTCATTTTCAACGATAAAGAAATTTACTTTATCACAACGTAGAAAATCCGATTCCGCAAATTCTAAATCAAAGTTACCAAAATCATTGAAACGTCCCATCTCTTTGGCCACAAATAAAACTGCTGCTGAACATTCTGAATCTTCGGTAGTGGAAAGTAATTTTAATCATAAAAGGTCGGCAAATAAATCTTTCTTTTCTTCCAAGAGGAAATCTTCTGCGATCAAAGAGGAACAAGTTCCCGTCTCTACTACCGTTACCGCCGTTGCTCCCGCGCCTGCCCAAGCGACAGATTTGTCTAGAAAACCTTCTTCACAATCGTCCAGTAAATCAATTTCCCCAACTAGCATGCAGTCTCCAACAACGACGACGACAACCATAACGACTACCACTACCACTACTACAACAACAACGACAATTTCTGCTGATACAGAGACCAATGCGACTTCACATGCGACCAACACAACCTCATCTACACCTGAAACTACAACTAATAAGAATATGGATATCACCACTTTTCTTGCTGCGCCACGTTTGACTCAGCGTGTTAGGCTGAGTTCCGGAAGGGTTGTAAGTTTTTCAGAAGTTGGTGATAGAAATGGTTTTCCCGTCTTCGTATTCTTGGGAATGGGTTGTGTACGCTATTTTATTGCCTTCTTTGATGACTTGGCCACAAGTTATAATTTAAGATTAATATGTCCTGACCGTCCTGGTATCGGCTTGTCTGACGATGTCAAAGCTGAAGAGCAACAAGTATTAAAATGGCCTGGTAATTATTATTTTGATATTCCCCCCTTTTTTTTTTAAAAAAAAAAAAAAAAAAAAAAAAATTATTTATATTGCCTTTACTAATAATAAATTAAACATCTCCATTTGATATGATATGATAGACGTTATAGAAGAACTTTGTGATATTATGGAAATACCAAAATTTTTCATTATGGCTCATAGTGCAGGAGCTCCATATGCTCTTGCATGTGCAATGAAAATACCCCAAAGGTTACAGGGTACAATTTATTTAGTATCACCTTGGGTTAGCACGACAGTAGCTAATAATTTTAAATGGTTACAATATGTACCTACACCAATAATGAAACTTACAAATTCAGCAGGTATATCATTACAACAGATGATACATGGACGACAACCTTATTCAATTAAACCACAATCACAAAGGAATTCTGGAGCCTTATCGGCTCCAATGTCAACCGTTGAGAAAAAGCAACAACTTGGTTTGGCAATCCTTAAAGCATCATTCGCTGAAAATTTAGCTGGTGCAAACAACGACTTATTGATGTGCTTTGAAAGAAAACGTACATTTGGATTTTCGTACACGGATGTAAATCATCCTGTGCACGTCTTTCATGGTACAAAAGATGATCGGATCCCCACATCGGCTGTAAAGTGGATGGAATCAAACATGCCAAATTGTAAATTGACTATGATCGAAGGGGGTAAACACTCGTTGTTTTTAAGAGCCGAGGTCGTTGATTCAATATTCAAATCCATAGCGGTACAATTGCATGATAAGACAAATTGTAAATTATGTAAACTATTTTCAAAATGTTGGTTAATAGAAGAAGCTGATAATTTACGTAAGGAAAAAGAATTAGAAATTCAACGTAGGGTAGTGGAAAAGCTAAAGAACACTGTCAAAAGAAAGCAAGTTCACGACTCAAACATGATGAGAACTGGTACTTCGAGCATTACGGATCATCAACATTCTCCTGCTGATCAACTTACTGTATATACTTATATCTAAACTTATTTGTTTGAAGTTTTATATTTTTATATTCATTTCATATCACCATATTATTTATTATCATTACCATCATCCTTCTTTTTTTTTTTTAAGGAGTTATGTAAGAGAAAAAAAAATCCTTTTTCAAACATTTCATTTATTATTTTCCTCCTGTAATCTATATTTATATTTCACGCATTCAATTTATAGCATCAATTTTCTTTTATTTGCATCTTTTAAGCTTTATTGGGAACTCTTTAATTTCATAAGAGGGTTGTTGTATATGATTATTTTTTTTAAAGGAAAAAAGGGATTGTTTATTACGGGGAAAACTATCATCATAAAATTACATTTTCTTTGTCAATTATGATAACAAATATTTTTACTATTTCTGTATATAACATTTTTTGTTTTTTTTTTTTTTAAAAA